TTTGTGTTTCAACAAGACAATGACCCGAAGCACACCTCGAAGCTAGTGAAAAAATGGTTTACGGATAACAAAATTGATGTGATGAAATGGCCCAGCCAATCACCTGACCTAAACCCAATCGAAAATTTGTGGAGGATTCTCAAAATCAATGTCCACAAGAGGAATCCTAAAAATATGGAAGATTTGAAAACTTTCTGCTTCGAAGAATGGCATCAAATAACGCCTGAGACATGCAAAAAGTTCACTAAGAATTATGCTAAGAGACTTCTTGCTGTAAAACAGAATAAAGGATTTGCAACTAAATACTAAATTGATGCGTTGAATACTTTTGCGTTACTTATTTTGATGTTTTTTTGAATAAACAATACAATACTGATTGCTTTTCAATATCCTTCAGGGATTTTGTTTGTTACACTAACATGAATATTTCATGCAATTTTCATCAAAAAATAATGATTAGAACGTGAGATATTAACAATTATCCAGTGTATTGAATACTTTTGCGTGTTGCTGTATATGTTATCATCATCATCCTCATCATCATTCATCATCGTGTAACATAACCTAAGCGTGCAAAACTCAGTGGGACAGCAAAATTTTTCTGTTCATAACATGCAACCTCCCTTCTATCAACGGTATTGAGCGGTCTTCTTGTGAAAGTTTACCACGCAATAGCATACGTGACTATCGTATTACGATTTCAACTTAAATGTCAAGATCTCTCCTTTGTAGGCCAATTGAAACTAACTGCCCCCACACACGTAATGATGTAAAAGGACGGACGGATGCAGCGACCACGAATTATGTTTTATGTTGTTCTTATGGTAAATTTAAACTGACAGCGCAAAAGAGCTGACGAAGGGTACGTCGTCAAATAGAAACCTTTAATCTTTGACATACAACTCCTTGTACAGGCGATACCCTATTTATCAGGGTAGTAAATAGGATGTAATTTTCGACCGTTTCAGTTTCGCCAAATTAATTCAAAACAATTCCAATGCATCTTGCCACGCCATGTCATGCACATTACAATCCAATTAAACGCATTAATTTCTAATAAAACCAATTAATTGATTTCTAATTTCGCGTAATTCTCGGAGTTAAGCTTTAGCGCATCGTTAGCGTGTAATTGCTTATTGCATGGTTATTTCATGTCTTCCACCGTAGAGTGAAACGAGTACCATTTCTACAAATGTTCGCGTGCTAATGTTTCTTCATAGGTCCAAATATGTACCGCATTGCAAAAAACTACGAAAAGCAACTTACCATTCGTCGTGGGTTGAAATTGAGCCAATGTGCTTGATGGTGCTGCTGCGAGTTGTCGGGAAACTGCTACAGAAAAAAAATGCTTTGGATTAAATTAAATTTTCATGAAAGGTGAGTTTTCAAAGAGAGTCGCAATGCTAATAACAGTCCGAGACGTTGATCTAAGAAACCACCTGCCTGCCTGCCAAGAAAGTTTAGAGATTGAAAAGTTGGGAAAATTTTTAGCGTTAGTCAGACGAAAATACGGCGAACCTTCTTTGTGAGCTAGCGAAAATATTTAGAGCACCCCCCCCAAAAAAAAATGATAGCTCCCGTACGCCTATGGTGATGCACACATGGCAAACTGCATTCGAAGATTTACTGAGCCCTCTCGGACATTCCACTTAGACGTGAACGTCATCATGTTATAGTGGTACGTGCCCGTTCCTTTTTGTTCCTTTTCCTCATAACTGTCAGTTTGGTTTCACTCCTTTAATTTTCTTCAGTAAATGGAATAAATCGTTTAAAATTGCGTCGTCTGCAAAAACAGAACTCACTTTTCAAGTGTTTTCTCACTTCTCATTCGTATTCGTAGCTAAATGCTTGTTTTGTTTTGCATTTTGCGTTTTACAAAACCGCTTTGCTCTTTGCTTCATGAAATTTATTTACATTTTGTCGAAAACTGATTACAGATAGTGGACCGGGAAAAATGTTTGTGAGGCAAGGAATGCACTTTATTAAAATAAAATGATTGCATATGCCGATGAAATATACCCTGGAGGTTTTGCGCGTTCTCGATAGCTCTATCAACTTTTGAATAACTTTAAATTGGAAGACAGCATTTTGCTAGCTTTTGCAGCATGAAACAAAAGTTGAAAATTATCACGGTGCCAAATAACCTACATCAAAAACCTGAAATTGTCGGAAAAGTCAGTTTTCGAAAATTTGTTTAAAATATTTTTTTTTGTTTTGATCTTTATAATATCAATACATGGAAACGTAAATTTTGTAATCTTAAAAGATCTTTTCAACGAAACTTCTAGTATTTTGCTATGAACGGGATGATTGTTTAAAGAATTTTCTCAAGTGAAACGAATCTCCAGACATTCATCAAGGTATAACTCTCGTGGTGATCATCAAGGTTATCAATATGTGTTTTCGACTGATTTTTGTATCGCCTTCTCATGATATAATTATATATCATAACACGTCTAATTATATAAACAAAAGATTTCAATCGCAAATCTGAAATGATTAAGTAAAACATATTTGGAATAACTAAAACATATATGCATATATAATAATAATATAGTAGCTACAATAAAATAATAATATTTATAATATACATAATCAAATATTATATATGTTTATTATTTATCAAAACGTTGCAATTCTTTTAAAGTCGTATACACCATATACCATCTGCGGTATACTTGGCTTACGAACTTTATACGTAGCTCCTTATCTACAGCGAGACTGAAAAAATGAATGGGAAACGTGTGTATAAAACGAAGAAGTCATAAGAATAAAGATTCAGAAGCTGAAATTCAGTGTTCCTACGGAAGAATTTGTTTGGCAATTATAAGAGCAACGTAACATTGTGTGCTTATGAAATTAATTCTTATTTGAGCATACTTTGGATACTTGCAAAGTCTCTTGACTTTAGTTGCCATCGTAGCGACTTATTTACGGCCGAAAATTTCGCAAAACGAAAAAGTAGGCCCGCAAAACTATCTATTATGAAGTAAAATATGTTTGGCGACTTTCGCTCCGATTTCTTTCACAAATTCTTTATGGAAAAGGCATTTGGCATTGTTGAGGTTGATTAAGAATGCATGATTGCCTTTTCACAATAAACTCCGCTATTAACATAAAATATGGAGAGTATACTGTGATTTATAATACACGGCAATACTTGACAAATTTCTACATCATTAACATCATTTTGTCGCTTAAAATGAACTCGCTTTACAAACCGACTCACGTTTTGTCATATCTCACTGTCAATCCCAGTAATTGGCCTCTGTTCGAACTGTCAAATTGTTTTAGCCAAGCGTTCGAACAAATATTATAGATTTAATGACCCAGCAATTAATTCAAATATTTTTACCTTAAATCATTCGTGGCGACAGTGAATTTCAGAACGAAAGACAACAGTAAAGAGAAACTGGCAGTTTTTATCTCACCTTCTGTAGTGGTGCTCGCGTACCGACTCAGTGCGGCGTAGTTATAAAAGCGAGATCAAAGCAGACAAAAACAAGCAATATCGAAGTGCCATTTGCTAAAACCTTTGCCTTGACACAATACGCCTCCCCAAAAAATCATTTGGTTAATTTGTATTTAGAAAACTTATCTTTGTGTTCTTGCCCACTAAGTGTGCCGGCGATCTAACTGTTCTTTCTTATGTAATACATTATAGATAGACTACCAGTTAAGCTAATTCACTGCTCAAATTATCAGGTGGAAAATCTCGCGGCGTTGAGTGAAACGCTTTCAATACGCTATATTTTACCTTGAAGTAGGGTCAAACGTGGATCGGCTGACATTCTTTCGTCTGACTGATAAACTTTTAAGAAGTTGAAGTTTTGAAAAATGATCGACCAAACTGCGTATACGATGTATATCTACCAATGTAAATTTAAAAGTGCTTGTACGTCGGGGGTTACTTATTTGGGTACTAGTCTTGCGTGGGTTAAATTATGCCATAAATTAAAACACTCCCACGTGTGACGTACTCGAGGGCTTCCGAACGTGATACGAGTGTTTTACGGTTTAGGAAAAGCTCTCGAGTAGAGAAAAGATAACAAAACATGTTGACAGCAGCCGATTGCGTCTTGTCATAAAATTTTAGCATATTCAAGACGCTTGCCTTGTCAGAAAAGCTCTCACTATAACAAATTTCTTTCGAATTTTGCGTGTGTTATTTTTTAAAGAAATAACGTTACTGAATTGGGCATATCCAAGAAAGATAAAGGTCTGGTTAAATTATAATGCATATGTAGGAATAGGAAAAACTGCAATATTTAACGTCTCGCCCTAAATACTTAAACCAATGACTAATATTAAAACAATACTGTTACTTGAAACTTAGAATTGCTATAGAATTAAACATCATATAAACCGTAAACTATCACATTAGTAAAAAGTATAAAAGTTGGCTTGAAAATACGGAGCACGTATTTTGATTTCAGATGTTGACCTATCTTGACGACTACAGGGGGAGTTTTCCCCAAAAAAACCGGAACCGTACAATCGACTACATCTACATTCGAGTTAAAATTAGAGACATAAAACGATGAATTGATGTTGAATATTTTACTTCATTTGAAACAAATATTGAATTTCAAGATGCCTATTTCCCATGGAATCTGCTTCTTCTTATACTTATTAAAATTGTCTTAGTAAGAATGGTTTATTGTAAAATAATGCCTGGAAATCTGTGTTAACAAACATTAATTTAATGCTGGCTGAATGCAAGCTCCATTTGTGTATAACCGACCTGCTATCACTATCAGTCATAAAGTATAAACAACGGGGACATAAAGTAAAGTTCGTCATCATCAATGGTCTTTTCCAACTAAGATATGTATTAGTAATGATAATTTAAGATCGTACGTCAATAATTAGTGATTTAATTTTGTTTGAGCAATCCCCATTTGATCCTTATCAAGATAAGATCCATAAGATCATCATTATCATGAGATTTAATCGCGTGGTCGTTGCCATGGCGGTTGTTAAGGTTTCCGGCGCCATATTGGGATGCCATAGAAGTTTGACTAACGTGTTTGTTATGATGTTATACCGTTTTGTCGATTTAACTTCTTTTTGAATGATTTATAAGACGTTAATTTAAATATTTCTTTTCGATATTGTAAAGCTGTAAGTTTGCTTTGCAATATTTTTTAGTTTTTAGAAAGAGTCCGAATAATAGGCAATGAATTCGGTGAAGTTACTGTTAAAATACTCGATTGAAGTTTACGAAAGTTATAATGGCATGACTCATGGTGTCGAAGAGCATTTAGAAAGGTGTCTAGTGAAGAATAAGGTACAAAATACATTTTGATACCCTTGCATATTGTGCGTGGCTGATGAAAAAAATAAAATTGTTTGATAAACATTTATCTCTTGAAGGTTAATAACGAGGAGACCAAAGTGTTCATTTCTGAGGTTTTCTCCGGATGTGTGAGATATCAAAGCGTCATTAAGGTTTTTATGAACATAAATGCTTTTTTAGTCTATTAATTTCAAATGTAATAATGATTACAGAGGAGTTTTGAGTATTTTGACTGTCTGAAGCAGAGTATGGCATTTCAGTTGCACAACGAAGATTTATACATACTTTAGTAAACTACTGCACACACCAATAAAATTATTGAGCCTACTAAGCCAAGTGCAAAGTTTTGAAAACTAGTCACATAGAAACTCAAAATCGAGGGATTTTGCTATTAATTTCCCAATTTCAATTCACCTCAAAAGATCAGAGATGTTCATCATCATGAGCGTCAATCCAATGTTAAATGAGTGTCACTGTATTCATGTATAGCTAGGCATAATAGAATATATGAATAACGGTCCCCTCTCCAATTAATGTGAAAAGATGCCAATGTTCATCATGTTTGTAAAAAAACAGAACAGTCTGCATCGCACAATTTGTACTCAATTGCACACCACCAAAGACAAAAAAAATTTTTGTTTTACATTTGAAAAGTGCTCTTGCACGTCTTGCTGAAAATTTCCATAATTTGCAGTCCAGTCATTGGTGTAACTAGGGTTTTCTATCAAGGGGGGGGGGGGCAGTTAAAGGGAAGAGTGTCATGACTGTCATGGAAACAATGTAATGTAAATAAAGTGCAACATTTTAGTTTAGGGAGGGGGAAATTTTGCAAGATGGCCCTTTGCTTCCCCCCTTCCCTTTGGCTATGTAACTGAGTCTGGTTTGGCTGTTTAATCTACTATGTTCCAACATCATCAAGACAGTTTGCACATTTTACCATTCACTTATGAATAGGTTGTAATTGATGCATATTACGCCAGGGATGGTAAAAATTGCCTCCGTTCAGATAAAAGTCTTTATTCTGGTAGGCATTTGCTTCTATATTAAATTTATTATGAATTTTTAAATCTAACTGATATCCATTTCTTTTTCATTTGCTAAGTGTTGTGCTATCTCGTTCTGTTTCGACTGGATGAGCTAGGAGTTGGTTACTTGTGGAAGCTGGTCGGTTGTCAGGATGCCAGTAAAATGCACAATTTCTTTAAATTTTTTCTGAATAAAGGAAACATCAATACATGGATGGCAGATGAGGTTTCTGGGCTTAGTGAACTCATTTGATGAACTTTGCATTTTCTTCTGTAATAATGATGTGATCTGTGATTGCTCTTTAGTGGTGTAGACATTATGATCATAGCTTTGTGGAGAAAAGTTTAGTTTCAACGTTACTTAGGTAAGAAAAAAACTTGATTTGTGGTTTAAATACACTATTATTCTTTAGCGGTGTAAACATTATGATCATAGCTTTGTGGAGACAAACTTAGTTTCAACATTGTTTAGGAAAGAACGACATATTTTTTGATAAAACAGAGATAGCTTCTGATAACCCTTTGTGGTAAATCATTTCATGTCTCCTAAAATATTTGATAAAAGTCGATTGAAGTTTTTCCAGAAAAAGTTAATTACAGCAGTGGCATCGCCTGCTCGATAAGCTAGGGAGATTTTTATTCATATATGCATGTTTTTCCATGTTAAGTTCCTTTGAAATCAATTGTTTCTAACAGATATAAACATGATAATATGAATTCTGTCCCCCTCACGTATCGAGCTAGAGATGCCACTGGATTACACTTTTTCCAGCAGTTTCATTAGAAGCTGGCAACTAGTAATTTCTGTTGGATACTTTTAATAAAACATATAGTTATTGTGTATCTTAGATTAAAGTTTTTTGATGTAATCAACAGTTACAAATTTAACTATGCCTCCCTTCTCCTCTGTTTTATGGAGCTTCTAGAACTGTGACCATATTCCAGTGCCTGCCACTTTCAAAATGCACATTAAAGTTTGAAATACCTGTTTGGCAATTAAACTGTACTAACCCTAACCCTAACCTTAACTTAACCAACACCCCCACAACAGCCATATATGATCACCTTTCTAACATATTTTTTGTTTGTATTTTTTCGATCTTTTTATTGCACTTTGCCATCACAAGGTGTGAAGGATTTTCTTTAGATTGCTGATATTTTTGTTCATTTTTTTATCTTTTCCCCCATGCTTATAGAGTGGGAATCAAGTTATCTGTATAACATTTGTGTGTTTTTTTTCATGTTACAGCTGGTTGCCTGAACTACAAGAGATTGTCTTGCTGCGATTAGAAAACAAAATTTCCTCGCGACGTGTGCCCGAACGGATTAGAAAACCAAATACAGGTGAATAAATTTTTCTCTTTTTTTTTCTGCCTTGCGTAATTTACACGAGCGATGTTTCTGTGTCAAAGTTATTTACGACAGAAATACACCCGTGTATATGAGTAAAATCTTTGTGATCAGTTTAATTTTTCATGACAAAGATGTTTGTTGAAAAACTAACATGCCAGTTTTGGAACAAGTGACTTTGTCATTGAAATATTTGTCAAATTTCGTTAATTACACTTTGCCGCCGAAGACAACTTTGTTACACAAGCGTTGTTCACACGTTGAAAGATCTCGTGTCAGTTCACGCGACCAGTATTTGTAATGTGACGCTACGGGATAAAAAAAACAACATTTATCTTTAAAATGAGAATTGCCCCATCGATTGCTTCAAAAATATACGAGGGCGATGGTCTTGATAAAAACAAGATGATATGTTTTTGTTGAACAATTTGCTGAGTAAAAGACAAATGCACGCGGATATAGAAATGCTTACGGAGGCGTACACAATTTCAATATATGAAAGAGAGAATCAATGGAGTCGCCTGCTACTATGCTGTTCGAAAGTCTTTCATTGAATGTCTTCTTTGAAATGTATTATAAACAACATTTATTTGTTGTGACTATCTTTAACTGAAAGGAAGAGGCAGTCGGGAATCAAAGATATGGATCTAAATAAAAATACAGTCGGTGTGATAGTTATCTTGCAAGCAAAACAGTTTTTCTCGATTTTCATTCGTAATACATTATTTGCCGACATCGTAAGACTGTAATTTACACATCTTACTACTGCCTATATCGTAAGACTGTATTTTACACATTTTACAACGTACTGCCGACATCGTAAGAATGTATTTTACTCATTTTACAACGTTCTTCCGACATCGTAAGACTGTATTTTACACATTTTACAACGTACTGCCGACATCGTAAGACTGTATTTTACACATTTTACAACGTACTGCCGACATCGTAAGACTGTATTTTACACATTTTACAACGTACTGCCGACATCGTAAGACTGTATTTTACACGTTTGCCAACGTACTGACATCGTAAGACTGTATTTTACACATTTTACAACGTACTGCCGACATCTTAAGACTGTATTTTACACATTTTACAACGTACTGCCGACATCGTAAGACTGTATTTTACACATTTTACAACGTACTGCCGACATCTTAAGACTGTATTTTACACATTTTACAACGTACTGCCGACATCTTAAGACTGTATTTTACACATTTTACAACGTACTGCCGACATCTTAAGACTGTATTTTACACATTTTACAACGTACTGCCGACATCGTAAGACTGTATTTTACATTTTACAACGTACTGCCGACATCGTAAGACTGTATTTTACTCATTTTACAACGTACTGCAACCAAAGTGCAATAATGCTAACCTTGAAATGACGATGTTCATGTCATAAACTCAACTTATATTAAGTTATATTAAATGATAATAACTAATATTAGCTATTTCGTCGTCTTTTTGTTTCTATGACGTCATGATGACGAATCCATGACGTCACGGTAAGAATTCTTGTTTCTTTTAGCCATACAACCTTTCAAGTTGACTCAACCACGACCACGGAGTATTCCCATACCTGATAAGGTATGTTCTTACATATAGACAAGCGGTTATGGATCGAGCCAGGATTTTTTTAGGTGGGGGGATGTTTGGCTTAGTGATTAACTAAAGTTCAGTGGTTAGAAACCAATTATTTATTTACCTACTCGTCGTTAAAAGGGGAAACTTGTTCTTGTTTAGTCAACAAATCAATTGTCATTCACGCCTTTCGATCAAAGTAAATACATTGACAGTCAACAAACTTTAATCGTAAAGGCTTTTTCCATTAAAAGTAGGATGGATTTTAATTTTAATTTTGCAATTAGCATCCCTCTTTGCACCCTTGTTGACCTTTGCGCAGAGGGGCGAAGCAATGGGGTAAGCACCTCTGTCCACCCCACCCCACCCTTTCATTCCACCAATGTACAAAAGCTTAAATCTTGCTGAAACTTATGAATGGCGTAGCTGTAGCCTAAGTTTGGCTGTCAAAATAACAGATTTCAATTGAAGTAAATAGCGCTGATGATCTGAAAATTGCATAGCACGACCAAAAATGCAAGGATGGATTTTTGTGTTGAGGGAGGGGAGGGGGAGGCACTAACTTCCCAACTAAATATCATTATACTTGACAACTAAGCGATGTGTGATTAACGGAGACCACTTCTAAAAATCTCCCAAATAAAGTTTGCAAGATTAAACAAAAAAGTCTGACTTGCTACGGTAAAAAATTGTCACCGAAGTCTAATCATAGCGAAGGCACTCCCCTACAAAACCATGGTGGATCCATCCCTGGGATTGCTACGCCACTTGGTTTTGATCCTCTAAAAATCATTCAGAGTGTTTTTGTTTTTGATAGATACCGAAATTGAAGCCTTCAAAGCCTGTAAGTCAAACTTATTGATTTGGAATTGAGTCCTAAATATTTCCACAAGGCAAATTCGCTCATGATGTATTTTTTGTATTATAGGTTCCCCAGAGTACATACACAATTCCTGCCGTTGCCTCAAGATTGCAAGAAGAGAGGTCAAAAAATAAGAAAAAGGCTGAGGTGTAAAGAGGATATGTGGCTTTTTAACTGTTGTGCAGACTGAGTGTTATGTTTCTTTTTAGTTGAAAGTCACTATTTTCTTGTATAGTTAATGTTTCATACGTTTCCTTTCCAAAGTAAATGATTCGATGTTTAACACGTTTCCTCTTCAGATAAACTTACTCGATGTTTAACATGTGTCCTCTTCACATAAAGTTACTCAATGTTTAACATATGTCCTCTTCAGATAAACTTACTCAATGTTTAACATGTTTCCTCTTCAGATAAACTTACTCAATGTTTAACATGTTTCCTCTTCAGATAAACTTACTCAATGTTTAACATGTGTCCTCTTCACATAAAGTTACTCAATGTTTAACATGTTTCCTCTTCAGATAAACTTACTCAATGTTTAACATGTTTCCTCTTCTGATAAACTTACTCAATGTTTAACATGATTCCTCTTCAGATAAACTAATTCAATGCTCAACACGTTTCTTCTTTAGATAAACCTATTCAATGTTTAAAACGTTCTTCTCTAGATAAACTTGCTCAATGCAAATGCCTCACAGTTTCAATGCGCAAATCCAGAGAAGTCGGACAAAACTATGAGGAAAATGTACGAAATCCAGGCGGAGAAAGACTCCAAGTATGTATTTAAAACAGTAAGCATTTGTTATTCTGCATGTTTACCATACGACTCATTTCATGCATGAAGTTTTTGTTTAAAAACAGTGTTATGATCATCATACAAATGCGATATTTTTCCAGGTTAAAGTTTGCATCTGCAAAAGCGAACCCTGCTCCATCATACATAGTACGTATTGGAACATTTCAGAAACATTCAGAAACGTTCAGAAACATTTCAAAATATTTTCGTTTTGGGGAAATTTTTTGTGAGTGTTATTGATGATGCTAAACCGAATCCTTAACCGCAATTCGAGTTCACCATGCAAACTTTTTTTTCATGTCTTTCTAAGGTGGCACGAGAGGGGTAAGAAGTCTTACGTGATAACCCTCTCAA